TGTCATTGATATTACATTCTTATATGTATAGAAGCCATTAGGAGCGATAAACGCGTGCTTCTGACGCAGCTGAAATCAACCGCACACTCACACAGCTAATGAAAACATCAACCTTAGAAATAAACAACCGTAACATTGAGATTATGCCGCTGAATACAGCGAACCCCAGTTGAAACGCATACACGAGAATGCTTGTTTCATTTAAACTTGTTCTCATGGCCTTAACTATCGGCGTGTCCTCAGAGCGATTAAATTACATGATCTAGACTACGTGTTGCTCCAGCTTAATTTGCTCCTGAGCAAGCTGAAAAGCTGCTGAATAATACTGAATACAGCTTATATAGGAATGCCGCGATAGGTGTCGTATTCCTATAGGTAGATGTGATCAGCTGAGAATCAGCTGATGCAAGCTTGACTCACGTGACCTGCCAGAACTAACACTAACGATTAATTTATCGTGCACTGTCGGCTTCACAACTTTGCAGATAGTTTATGTTCACATACAGCTACATGACACACTGCATGAAAGGTAATATTCGAAAAGGCATATAGGGGCACTTTAATACAATATTTGAAATAAAAAAAGAAATTCAGTGTATTGTATTGAAAATTGTTCCAACAACAAACTCTTACTCTCGATTTCGCTCAGGCTGCGCTGCTCTTTCTCTGTGTCCTCTTTGACCCTGCGCAGGTCGTCTAGCTCCACCCTCAGGAACTCGCTCTCACCCAATGCCTGCTGCTTCAGGTGAGTCTGCTCTGCAAGCTCCGCCTCCAGCTCGTTCACACGCCCCCGTAGTGCTTGACAAAGACGGCCACTCTGAGAAAGACCAAAAGAATGATTAGAGTCACTTTTATTTTCACTTCTCTTCCACTGTACATGACCCTTCAAAAGTAAAATGTCTTATGCTCATCAAGGCTGCATTTATTTTATCAAAAATATAGTAATCACAGTAATATTGTGAAATGTGTTTACAATTTAAAATAACTGTTTTCTATTGTAATTTATTTTAAAATGTAATTTATTCCTGTGATGGCAAAGCTGAATTTTCAGCATTATTACTCCAGTCTTCTGGAGTCTTCTAATATGCTGAATAGATGTTCAAGAAACATTTCTGATTCTTATCAATGTGGAAAACAGTTGTTCTGCTTAATATTTTTGTGGAAACCATGACACTTTCTTAAAACATTTTTTAAAGAACAGCATTTATTTGAAATAGAACTCCTTTGTTACATTACAGATGTATTTACAATTAATTTTGATCAATTTAATGTATCCTTACTGAATAAAAATATGAATTTCTTAAAAAAAACATATTACTGACTCCAAACTTTTAAGTGGTAGCTTATTACATTTGATCTCCTCTCATCTCCCACTCTTTACCTCCAATCTGAAGGACTCCAGCTCCTCCTTCAGGGCCTGTAGCTCCGCTGTGAGCTGCTCAATCAAACGGTCTCTGAGATGAGAGATACATGTTCATGAGTCCTATGTTATAATATGTTCTAATAAACGCAAAGAGCTTCCTATAACTTATTAATTATATTCTCCAACAGTATTTCCAAGACTGACTTCTCATCTTTACGCATGCCGTTCTGACTGTTGAAGTTGAACGGGTCTGTAGCAGCTGAGGTGCCAAAGAGGTCGTCGAATTTGCTATCCACAGTGCTCTAATGGAGAAAAAAAAATCTCTGTCTTTAGAAACTCAAGTTAAAAGGAAAGTATACAGAGAGTTTTAGATAGTGAGAGTGTGTGTGTTACCGGTAAAGGTGGGATGTCCGTGTCCACCAGGTCTTCGGTCTCTGCTACATGTTCACTCTCAGGGGACGAAGACTCCACCGGAATCACCACCACTGGACTGATGTGTTCGGAGAGGGCTGACGCCCGCAGGAAGTTTGGTGGATTCTGAAGAGAAATGTGAAGAAAGGAAACTACTGGAATGTGTTTTCAAACCGTTTTTCCCAAAACACTTCCTTACTGGTTGAGAAAACAAACAACCCCACCCTAGTCTCATGCCATTGGTTGAGCTGAAGTCAGTTGTGATCATGAAGCTCAAACAAATGAAAAAATAGCTCACTTTGCCTTTAATTTAAATTTAAAATGACATGCAAATTGGAGGAAAATATGTTGTTTTATAGGGCAGCCTGCAGTATCTTCATGGAGTCCAGCTGAAAATCCTGACGCTAGAAAACTAAGCAGGCAGATATGTAAATGAGTTACATAATTTCTTTCCACTAGCTGTATTTTTGGACTCAGGTCAGGCAGGAATCTGTTTGGTATGCAGGAGTCTCACCTCAGGAAGTTGTGGGATCTGAATCAGTCTCTTGAAATACTGCAGGTTACTGGAGCGATAGAACAGACTCTTCAGCCTGGAGAGAGAGAAACGGAGTGAAAGGAAAAGATTGAGAGAGTGAGAAATGACAAAAGAATAAAATAGTGGCAGTTTGTTTGACTCATCATGGCAGCTGTTCTGACTGGATAGTGACTGACAGACTCACTTCTTAAACTGCTCCTGGAAGCGATCCCTGTGGCCCTGCAGAGTATCTGCCGGCAGACCTGGAAGACAAGAGTGCACAAGACTGAGAGCGCGCACTATTTTACATTCTATTTTGATTACATTTTGTTATAATAGCCAAAGGAACAACACCAAATACAGAACAAATACAACTTCCCTACTACAATATACAAGTATAATAATAAATAAATAAAAACTAAGTTCAGAGTGTGGTCACATTGCAAAATATCCAACCTGTATCTGATTAAGCATTACATATGTTAGGCTATGTATCACACTGCGGGAAAATGTGGCCCAAATCAGATTTTTTTGCTCATATGTAACTCAGATCATTTAGCTTCATGACAGTGTGAACAGCACAATCCACATTGAACCCGATCTTTTCAATTCCAATTTGGGCCACTTCCATCTGTGGTACTAGATCAGATTCAGGTCAGATGTTTTGCAACGTGACCGCAGTCTGAACAGCCAAAACGAATTGATGTGACTTTTACATCATTCTAGATCGACGTTCGTCATAATTCCGTGCTGACGGGAGTCACTGCAAAGATTTTACATAACTGTATTTCTTTGATCACTCAAGTGAATCGTTTTACGGTGTATTACAGAAACGGTGCTATACAAGCTAAACTTACTGGATTTTACAGTAACTATTTAAAAACTTTGCTTTCTTTCTCCTCATCTTCGTCCTCCTTATCGCCTGCTCACAAATTCACAGGCTTTCGCGCCACATTAGTTTATAAATGAATGTGTAAACACTTCAGTGACCTCTGTTTACTTCCATATGACAACGCATTTCTTGCCATCTTGTTATCGTTCTTTTGCGTATGCAGGTCAGTTCAGCACCATCATTCGTTCACACTGAAATCTGATATTTGCCACATTGAAAACTGATAATGTGAACAAAAAACGAATCCGAGTATTAAATCGGAATTGAGCACTAATGCTTGTAGTGTGAACGCAGCCTTAGTGGCCCAAATCAGAATCTAAAAAAACAGATTCCAGGTGATTTGTGCTGTTCACATTGTTAAGATCTGAGTCACATATAAGCAAAAAAGCAGATTTGGTCCACTTCTGTCTGCAGTCTGAACATAGCCTTTGTGTGTGTGAAGAGAGAGATGTGATTTATGGACTCACAGGAGTGGAGCTTGAAGAGCAGTTTGACGGTGTAGTCGTACAAATGACTGGAGTCCAGAATGACCTGGATAAGAGGGGCCAGACGGCACTGACCGGCTGCTGTCACCGACACAGAGCGAGACATATCCAATGAGCTGAACACTGTGAAGAATAAAAAAACATCAAGACACTCCCATCATTCCATAGATACCAAAACCCCTTATAGGATAAGCATATTTCTGTCATGCTCTAACACAAAATTATAAACTTTCATAAATTTTATAAACAAATTACTATAAAATATTAATATAAATTGTGCATATAAATAATTGATATTAATTTATATTAACGATTTATAATAACAATTATAAATTATCAATAATTATTTGTGTAAATATGTTATAATATGCATATATTAATTTACAATAATCCATATCTTATTTTTGGACATTTTGTCTCTTTTATATATATACTAGGGGTGTAACGATACACGTATTCGTACTGAACTGTTCGGTACGAGGCTTTCGGTTCGGTACGCATTACAAACCGAACGATTCATTGGACTAATCGATCCTATTACATTTGGAAAACAAAAGAGCTTAAAGTGTGAAATATAATGTTCTCAGTGCCACTGCGCTCAACATGACAGCCCAAACGGCGTAACAGGCAACATGCTGTCTGCCCAGTGGCGTAGCGGATGGCCCCGTAATAACCTCCCCTTGCTGGTGTGTGTCGAAAGACGACGATCTTGTATCAACGATAGCCAGAGATATTGTCAAAAACATCAATTATTGGCAATATTAAGAGGATTTGGCATTTCCAATTAATGTAGGCTTGTTACATTCTTATTTTTATTAGGCCTATTATTATTATGAAGTTACTTTTATTACATTAAAACTACAATTAATTTGCCCCACAATAATTACCGCATAACTGACGCGCTGCGAGGATAACAAAATATATTTAGCCTACTCCTCAATTAAAATGTTTTTAAAAACGGTCTTTTAAGGTCTACAATGAATTATATGCCTATAATTAAAATATTAACACTGCAGTCATCGATAATAATCAATTAAATAAAAAGCTTTTATTCCAAGCACCGACTTTAACACAAAATATGTTTCTTCTCATTTTTTTTCCACTATGTACGGGCCACAAGAGAAATATTAAGGGAACAAAATGTAAATAGTTGGCTATACCGTTATCAGCATATGTTGAAGTAGATTCCTCTACTCTATAGAGAATGCGGCGTCAGATGCCAAAAGCTCCGTCATTACTCCGTCAGTCCGTTTTTACTTTCACTTTCTGCATATAGTGAATTGACTGAGATTAAGAATAAAAAATATTTTTAAATATATATTTAATAATATTGTATATATAAATAATAGATGAAAAATATAAAGATATCTTTGTGTAAATGTCATCATTATTAAATATATTACACTAAAAATACATGTATTCTTTTTTTAATGTGTGTGTGTGTATATATTATTTAAAAATATTTGTATTTATATTTTTATTGTATATATTTGTTATTATACGTATATTTGTTTTGTGCTTTTTTTGGTAATTGTTGTTATTTTTAGGACTAACATTTAGTTGCCATGAGGTCACAAAACTAAATGAAGACTGGAAATAAAGATCTGAGGAGGAGAGTTAGAAGATGGATGTTCTGCTGAAATCTCCTTCAAGGCCTCAATCACTCACTTTGATGGGAACCACTATGTACGGGCCACAAGAGAAATATTAAGGGAACAAAATGTAAATAGTTGGCTATACCGTTATCAGCATATGTTGAAGTAGATTCCTCTACTCTATAGAGAATGCGGCGTCAGATGCCAAAAGCTCCGTCATTACTCCGTCAGTCCGTTTTTACTTTCACTTTCTGCATATAGTGAATTGACTGAGATTAAGATGTTCACCGACATAACTCTTGTGCAAAGTTTGCATGTTGTCTGTGTGATATCCATTGGCTCGCCTTCATAAAACAGGAATATTTTGTTTCTATTTCATTGCAACATAACCAATTAGCCCCGTACCGAACATACTGAACCGAACCGCGACACCACATACATATATATATTTAAACATATGTTTGAAATACTCAACTGAAAGCCTCAATTCTCAATTGGCAAGTTGTATTCCTTTATTGTATGAATTCCTCTTTCACGCCATTCCCTTCAACATGCTGTTTTTCTCCATCTATCCCTCTCATTGCCCACTTCCTCATTCACATTCATCCCCACACTCCCTCCCTCCCTCCATCCGTCCGTCTCTCTGGTGATCAGTGATGCAGGCTCCTGTGAGACCTCGTCTTCTCAGCACACAGAGAGGTGTGGTTTCCTGTGCCAGGGAGCTGCGTTTCAGCCAACAACACTCGCATTAACTTCTCCCTAATGCTTCCAGCACAGGCACACTGAGATCTATCAGTGTTCCAGCTAGATTTTACTGCCTGTTTCAGCAGAAACGTCTATCCCGATAGAGATGTCACCTGTTTTTTACTTTAGAATGCACATTAGCTATTCTTTACTGTGAGATTTTTTTCAGAGATTCCAGTCTTTCTCTATTCAAGTAGATTAAAGCTGTATTTGTCTGCCTACAATCTACTTAGAAAACAGCATAACCAAAATGACCGCCAAGGACTCTTCTGGTGCTCAAACACCTGCACTTCACTTTAAACTTACCACCTAAGAAAAGGTTCAGCTCACACTCCAAGTAATCAAACATCTCCACCGTCAACTGGAAGCTACATGTTTTGAGAGGAAAGGAAACATGATTAAGTCCCATCCCACAAACACACAGAGCAATTATAGAACTTTATTTAATAAAACCGACTGAAAAGAAACACAAAGCTTGTGAGAAACAAAGCAATACTCACAAATTATTGACGTCGTTCTCACCCGCCTCATCAAGCTGGCTGTTTGACATCTGAAGGTTGCCTGGGAAACGGGGATTCTGGGAAAGCAATTGGGGTAAATCTTATATTTGTGAGAGTCTGACAGCACAGCCTTTTAAAATACTCTTCAATAATATGAAATGGCTCATGAAATGACAAATGCAAATGTCTTTCCTGTATTGACACATTTCATATTGACGCAGGAAGCAGGGCCAAAACATATCAAAAAGCTTGTCTGGGTTAAAAAAAAAAAAAAATCTAGGCAGCAGGCAATATTGCAAGACATTCTGCCAAACCATGATTATCTACAAAAAATATACAAAAAAATAATTTAGGACTAACATTTAGTTGCCATGAGGTCACAAAACTAAATGAAGACTGGAAATAAAGATCTGAGGAGGAGAGTTAGAAGATGGATGTTCTGCTGAAATCTCCTTCAAGGCCTCAATCACTCACTTTGATGTGAAACTCCATTTTGGTGATGAGCAGTTTGAGGTAGATGCTGCACAACTTGCCGTAGCCTTCACTCAGATGACCCTGAGAAGAGAGAGAGCAGTGTGAGGGCAAGAAAAACACTGAACACTTCAAAAGGAAATGATGTCATTGCCCTTCCGTAGCAGCTAATGAGTCCTCTCTCATTCTCAACTCATCAGCTCACTTCACAGTTCAAAGTATGAGTCACTGTGGGCAGATTAAGGTCATGTTTGGTGTTTGTTAACATGTTTGGTGTATTGTACACACATAATAGGTCCAGCTGCGAGTCAAGTTAATGAGCTCATTCTTTCACTTCCTGTTCCCTTCACCACTTACTCTGACATCATGGGAGGGGGACAGAGTTGCTCGCAGGAAATGTTTCTCCTGAGTCTAATCCTACAGCACGTTATCAGCAAATACTCAGAGGGATGCAACTAAAGGTCTTTCCAGTAAACAAAAGTTGTCATTCAGCATGTTCCATCTGACCCTTCCTGTTGGCTAGTGATACACAGCTGATCGTAAACTGCATTAGAAACACTTGCATTGCTGACAATGATGCTAAAGTCAACATGAAATGGCATTCACAAGCCACTGCATCAGGGCTGCTCAATTAATGGAAAGAAATACAAAATTGCAATATGGTTTAGTGCGATTATCAAATTGCAAAGGCTGCGATTTAATTAAAAATATATATAGACCGTGTTTCAGAAAGTGCAGCACTGTTTTTTTTTTTGTTTTTTTTTACATGTGAGCAGCTCATGATCCAGTGTTTCAGTATCTGAGATCAGCTCACTTTACAGTAAATACTGCACCATATAATCTCATTTGTGTATCTGCTCTGAGTTTGGAATGCTTATAACTAGGGATGCACCGATACCGATACTGGTATCGGGCCTGATACTGAGCTCCTGTACTCGTACTCGTTAAAATGCCCCGATAACAAACGCCGATACCACACAGCATGTGATAAGTGCCATATTCAGACAAAGAAACACCCAGGAAGCAGGGCCAAAACATATCAAAAAGCTTGTCTGGGTTAAAAAAAAAAAAAAATCTAGGCAGCAGGCAATATTGCAAGACATTCTGCCAAACCATGATTATCTACAAAAAATATACAAAAAAATAATTATTTTATTATTTATATTTATCTATTTATATTCATATATATGTATTTGTGTGTATATATATATATATATATATATATATATATATACACACATATATACGCCTGTATAGCTGATGTGCGCGAGCTGATAAACAAAGCACGCTGAGTATGCAAAGACTAGCTTTAAGGACTTCCTGTGATTCTCCACCAAAATAAAAGTTTGAAGGTATAACTTTTGGAAAGTTCCCAGCCTCTGTTGCCTCCATATATGAGGACACAAACACATAAACATAATCTCTAGAACTGCTCTGAGAATCACTTCACGAGCATTTTGCAGTTTCTTTTGGAAAAAAAAAAAAAAAAAAAAAACCATTTTTCTGTGGAAATTAATGGCGCAGACGCGCGGTTTTGTTTACACACACATACAGAAGCGCGCGTGACGCTCACAGTATTTGCAGCCTCTATATGAGTACGTAAACACATAAACATAATCTCTAAAACTGCTCTGAGAGTCTCTTCATGTGCATTTCACTGTTTCTTTTGAGTAAAACTATTCAAGTTCAAGTCAATACAAACAGAAACTTCAAGGTCTTCACAGCAACCCGTCAAAATAAAAGTTTGGTTTAACTTGAAGAAACTGTGACAGAAAAGTGTAAATAAAACTATTTCTGAAAAAAAAAAAAAAACATTTTGTATGAAAATTAATTAGAGATGATGAAACATTAAAATGTAATCCAAAAAATTAATGGAAAACACAGAATTTGGTAAAAATAAAACTACATTTGAGAAAAAAATAAAAAATTTCATAGGGCCTTAATAATTAAATTTTTGTTAAACTTAATAAATTGATGTTAAATTGTGTAAGTTTCATTATTTCAATTAATTAGACATGCTTTTTGATTAATACTTTTAACCATTAAAATGGAGTCTAGAAAAATTTAAATGAAAAAACAGAATTTTGAAAAAAAAAAAAAAAAAGGATTTCATAGGGCCCTAGACATATTACAATAACAATATTTTGTTTCATATTTTTAGTAACAACATCAACAACAACTATTATTATTATTATCATTATCCTCGTACTGATACATAATCTCAAAATATTCGGCTAAATTGTGCAGTCCTACTAACAAGCACAGCAAACATGAAGGTTTTTTTCCAATGTTTATCAGAAGAAAAAAAACAATAACATTTTCTCCCCATATCGGTAATGTAACAGCTGCAGATATTGTGCATAAACACCTGTTTATGCAATGTAAGAAAAACTATTAAAATTTTTAGTTTATATTGTATTTAATTAAAAAAATTCATCTGGAATATGTTGTCTACTATTAGATAAAAGACCAAAAAGAATAGAAACATCCAACATCACACTTCATAAGAGAGCTTCATAAGATATCAAGGATGTTTGACTGGTACACTCATAACAAGCAAAGCTCTGTAAGCGTTCCTCCAGAGTGACAAACACACGCTCATGTCATCGTTTGCTAATTACAGATCATCTCTGCACTGAGGTTAGTGTGTCTGACTCATACACAGAATGCCAAGCTATTCAGCTGTCAATCAGCAGTAACGAAATGACTTGCTGACTGACACACTGACAGTTTCCACAATGAGATGAAAACTCAAGGGAACTCGACAGGGCCTCATTCAATACGACAGAGTTATATTGAGCGAGCCTCCGATTTAGTGGGAAATCATTAAAACCTGCAGCCACAACTTGTATTCACACGCTTACCCACATCCTGCTCATGTCGTTCAGGTCAGCCTTGTTCCGCATGGAGTCCTTAATGACCTGAGTTGACAGAGAGGAGGAGGAAGAGTTGAGACAGCATTCTAAAGACTAAAAAAAAAAAAAAAACATTCTAAAAAGATACCTAATATTCCAATAATGTACCTTAAAATAAATAAAATACAATAAAATGTAAAAAGCTCATTTAAATTAGTTTAAAACGTTTTCAAATTTAAATAAAATGTAGATATCAAAGGAGCAGGGTGTTTTATGGCTAATATGTGATAGATTATAAGCATAGCACACACAGACTGAATCATTTCTATTGATAATTTTCTGTATGGAATGAAATATGACAATGTATTTTGGACTGAACACTCTGCATATGCAGCACTGTCTTGAATTTTGCATAGACTGAACATAGATAGCTGCATAATGCTGCTATCCTACCTTTTTGAACAGATTTTGTGTCATGAGTGTGCCTATGATGCCTTAAAATCCTGTCTAAGCAGACAGCTGATTAAGTTTTCGGAACAGGGCTTGTGTGAGTTTGCTCAATATGGATCTCACACACACACATCATCATGTGTGTCACTGATGCATGCAGCATTTACTATGTTTTGAGTGTGTGAGAAAAATAAATGAATTAAATGGAGAGCCAGATATCAACTAACCAAGAGATTGAGAGAAAGTGAGAGTGAGGTGGAATTAGACGTGTAAGAGATAATACGGCTGTATGTACTCACGTTTGGATGGCCGTCCCTCAGCAGCTTGTGGAAGACGTGGCAAAATTTCCAGCAGAGCACTGCATTGCTGGAAAGGGGCAGGCGGTTGACAGCAAGCCAGAATGTGTGAGCCCCCTTCTCATGATGCGTGCCCAATATGCACGGTGAAGATGCCAGTCAAGGACAAAACTGAGGGGTGTGGAATTTAAATTCTGCTTCTCTGACATGTCAGCATCTTTAACCAGATACTCTAGATACCTGATCCAGCCTTCTGGAAGAAGGACTAACCAAACTGCATCCTACAAATGAATAATAAGTACTGGAGCAAAGAAACACTGATGTGCAGCTACATGGAGTTACACATACACTATATGGACAAAAGTATTTGGACACCCCCTTCTAATTAACAGGCTTGACTACTTTAGTAATTTCCATGAGTACAAATCTTAATGTGTAAACATATAATGACATTCTAGGGAATTGTGTGCTTCTAATTTTATAGCAACAGTTTGGACAGGACACTTTTCTATTCTAACATGACAATGCCTCTGTGGATAAGGCAAGGTTCAAAAAGAAATGATTGACTGAGTCAATGTGGAAGAACTTGACTGGTCTGCAGAAACCCAGCTGAACACCTCTGGTGTGACTTTAAATGCAGACCTTGAGCCAAAAACTCATGGAAATTACTAAAGTAGTCAAACCTGTTCATTAGAAGGGGGTGTCTTAATACTTTTGTCCATATAGTGTATGTTTATCTAAAAATGAACTGGGTACCTAATATATAAACCAGATAGCCAATACATGATACAATTATTTGCATATATTATGATACAATTAAATTTATACAATACAAGCACAGTTATGGCAGGGGCTATTGTGTTTTCCATTCGGTCTACCAAAATGTTTCACCGCCCTGCCCGACGGGCTATCTTGAACAGTGATATAAAATTACTTCCTTGATTTGCGTTGTTCACTAGCTTGTAGGGGTAAAACTGATCGTAGTTGATCGTTTGCACGTGTTTCTATGTCTTGAGGATTTAAACATTCAAGTGTTTTAAACCATTCACGTGCATTCGAAGCTGCACGCACTCATTCAAAGCGCGCACAGAGAGCCGCGTTTCAGACAATGCGCGTACACAGAATTGATTCCTCTTTCGCGTATGCTTGCATCTGAATGAACACATACACACAAAATTATCTCAAAATAACTGTCTTGGCAAGTATTCGTGTAAACACAGTCGGTTATGTCTTAAGTGAACATAAACAGTGGTGAAAGAAATCTAAAGTGCATCATTATATTGGATCTGTGCATTCGGTCTTAAAGGGGCAGCAGCCTATAAATACCTGCTGTTCCATAAGCGCCACCTGCTGTCAGAGAGTGGCATTTGCATCTCATTCACAAAGCTAAAATCAGACCATTCTGTTTTTGCATCAAATTGAGAAATTATACAAATCTAATTGCAATCTAAATAACATGTATTTAGCATCTTTGTTCGGATCGTGACTAAAATGCAGCAGTTGCCTCTTGTTTTTAAATGGAAAAAGCACAGCCTTATATGAAGAGATTTATTTTATTTGTATTTAATTATTTGATTTGGGATTTGTTTTAAAATTTCAAGTTAGTTTTATTATTTGACATACTGTATTTCAATTTCACAAAGAAATGTGCAGAATTTTGTTGGAGAAATAATAGAAGGACACCTTTTCATTTATAATTTGTCTTAAATCTCATTTTGTTAAAAAGAAAATTGTGAGAAAATTGTATTATGAAATCAGTATCATTAATTGTATCGCATCACATCGTGAGTTGAGTGAATCGTTACATCCCTACATGCTACTAGTTTTTGCTGTGGTATCAAAGAAGTATTCTGCTATTTAAATAATAAAGAACCATATTTTTTTTGCTCATCTGCAAAATGTTCATTAGAAGGGGGTGTCTTAATACTTTTGTCCATATAGTGTATGTTTATCTAAAAATGAACTGGGTACCTAATATATAAACCAGATAGCCAATACATGATACAATTATTTGCATATATTATGATACAATTAAATTTATACAATACAAGCACAGTTATGGCAGGGGCTATTGTGTTTTCCATTCGGTCTACCAAAATGTTTCACCGCCCTGCCCGACGGGCTATCTTGAACAGTGATATAAAATTCCTTCCTTGATTTGCGTTGTTCACTAGCTTGTAGGGGTAAAACTGATCGTAGTTGATCGTTTGCACGTGTTTCTATGTCTTGAGGATTTAAACATTCAAGTGTTTTAAACCATTCACGTGCATTCGAAGCTGCACGCACTCATTCAAAGCGCGCACAGAGAGCCGCGTTTCAGACAATGCGCGTACACAGAATTGATTCCTCTTTCGCGTATGCTTGCATCTGAATGAACACATACACACAAAATTATCTCAAAATAACTGTCTTGGCAAGTATTCGTGTAAACACAGTCGGTTATGTCTTAAGTGAACATAAACAGTGGTGAAAGAAATCTAAAGTGCATCATTATATTGGATCTGTGCATTCGGTCTTAAAGGGGCAGCAGCCTATAAATACCTGCTGTTCCATAAGCGCCACCTGCTGTCAGAGAGTGGCATTTGCATCTCATTCACAAAGCTAAAATCAGACCATTCTGTTTTTGCATCAAATTGAGAAATTATACAAATCTAATTGCAATCTAAATAACATGTATTTAGCATCTTTGTTCGGATCGTGACTAAAATGCAGCAGTTGCCTCTTGTTTTTAAATGGAAAAAGCACAGCCTTATATGAAGAGATTTATTTTATTTGTATTTAATTATTTGATTTGGGATTTGTTTTAAAATTTCAAGTTAGTTTTATTATTTGACATACTGTATTTCAATTTCACAAAGAAATGTGCAGAATTTTGTTGGAGAAATAATAGAAGGACACCTTTTCATTTATAATTTGTCTTAAATCTCATTTTGTTAAAAAGAAAAACCGTGAATCGAATCAAATCGTGAAATCAAAATCGTGAATCGAATCGAATCGTGAGTTGAGTGAATAATTACATCCCTAGTTACAATGTAACTAATGTCACAATGCAAAAAATGTATGTTACAATGCAAAATGGTACAGAAATGGGATTCATATTCTCTTCATGCTAAATATAATGCCTCTTTTTTTAATTTCAATTTTTTTGGTCAAATATGGCTGAACAAGTTTGTGTGAGATTCACATTAGTGCATAAGAATAAATCTGAAGAATGTCTGCCCGAAGGGCTACCAGCGATTTTGAAATTTTGCGAGCTTTGCGAGCCCTGATGCTCATAAAGTCACCGTGGCCAAATATTGGCAGAATAATTGGTATGTCTAGTATTTCTAGTATTGGCATAACATAACATAACATAACACACAACATAACACAACATAACAAATAAAATAAAAAAGCAAGTTTAAATGCTCATGTTTATAAAATAAATACCCCATATTACTCTCAATTTAGATACCTCTGAATAAAATAATCACATAAAATAAAATGTATTAATTCCTAAAACAACATAAAACAACTTAAAAACAACATAAAACAACTTTAAAAGCTGCAAGTTTATAAAATAAAATACCCTCAGATCAGATTCTTCAAAATAAAATAAATTAAGTAAATAAACAAAAAATAAAAGCAAATTTAAAAGCTCTTCAAGTTTAAAATATTGGCAGGTGAATTGGTCTGTAAATATTATAAAATAATATTCCAATTCCAAATAAATTATTCCAAATAAATAATAAAATAAATATAAATATATTTTCTTTCCCAAAAGTAGGGCACTCAATGACCAGAATATAATGAAACTACGGTTCCCTATCGAAAGGTAACTCCTGTTGCGTCGTCATTTGACGACTGCTTGGGGAAACTCCTGTTTACTCTATTACTGAAGCCTTATTGGTTAACGTTTGTGTAGCTGCACAAACCACTGGCGCTCGAGCCCGCCAGAAGGGGCGGAGACGACCACTATATAAGTCGGCTCGGTGCGCCATCTTATCGGAATCTTCTCCTTCAGCGACGAGACCATCTCTTCGCTGACTCTGCAATCAAGAAGCTGAAGAGGGAAGAAGCTCAGCCTGCAGCTCGCCACCGTAGAGAGCCCCGGCAGCGGAAGAAGCAAGAAGCCTTCCCCTTTGGCTATCCGGCTGGTAAGAGCAATTCCTGAGCAATTTCTCTGCGACATTGTTGCAAATCTCGCACCACGAGTGTGGCTCGTGCGAGGAATCCCTGCACGATGCAGAAGGGCAGTGACGGAGAGACGGAACGCTCTCACAGAGAGCATGAGCATGATCTGCCGTTGTGTGTTTTACACATGAGATTGCACCCCTCTTACATCGAGCAGCTCAATCCCTTCAGGCGGATCAGAGTAGAATCCTGTCACCAATGATTCAGATCGCTGACAGCTTCGCATTTGTGTGTGCGTCGCTGAGGCTGCGCTCACTGAGACAGGCTGCTTTCATAGACGAAAGTGCGAGTTTATCCCTGCATCGCTCGCGGATCCCCTTCAATGAAGATGGCCCCGCCTCCCCAGCTCTCGTGTTTCTCCCCTCCCAGTTACCTCGGAGAAGAAACGGCGAAGTCGCGAGTTTGAGCGATCAGGCTTGAGTGATTTTACACCGGCGCAGGTCCCGTGTGTTTCACTCTCACTGCAGCACTTTGATCTGCCAGTGTGTTTTACACATAAGGATCAGCGTCCCTCGCTTACATCGAGCGGCTCAATCCTTCTAGGCGGATCGGAGTAAAGGCTGTCACCAGTGATTTCACATCACTGACAGCCTCGGATTTGAGTGCACTGCTCGCCTGGGCCATGCCCATGCTGAGGCTGCACTCACTGAGACAGATCACTCTCGCTATGAGAGTGTGTGTCTCGATCTGCTGTGCTCGTGGTTCGCCTTCTTCAATTATGGCGGGCCCCCCCCCCCC